ACGCATGCGAGAAACCGCACGTGTAGAACGCAAAAAGGACGAAGCATGCTTTTTCTCGCATACCGAGCGGTATGCGAGCTCTCGCTCGCTTTCAACTGTCATTTTTGTTTTTTGACAGATGTGTTCTCATTTCGCAGAATTTTTCAGAGTAGCAACATCGTTTATTTTGGAGGCAAATACAAATTTATAGGCAGCCATTTTTCATTTGAAAATAGTATACATCTCTTTATGCAGATTTTCTAATTTTCTCAAACTTTTAAGAGCCTGCAAAGCTTGAACCTTCTTGGTTAACGACATTTTACAAATGAAAAAGTATGCTGTCAAATGGCCAGTCAACAAAACTATCTCGCTTGCGAGAGAAAAAAGCAGAACGCAAGCGAGATTTTCAAGCATGTGAAGACGGCCGGTTATTACACCCTCGAGCAGATTTGAATCATGATCCAACTACACAAGATCTTACAAGATGAAGCAAAGAAAAAAAAGTAATTTTCTGGCTGACGTTTGTAATTTCGGCGCCATGTTATTTTCTGTGAAAAGTAAACAAAGAATATGAAGACGAAGCATAAAGAAAAAATGCAAGCAATGTTGTTCACATGTTTGTGCTTACCAATTTATTATTTTTGTACGTGTTTTTGCATCCAATCACCGCACACTTTATTTCAATTACTTTTACACAAAAAATCACTTAAAACTCACTGAAATAAACTACCGACAAAATACACATAAACAAAGAAGCAAAACAGAAATAGCAAACTTTAAAATTACGAACGTCACACACTTTTTTCTCAATTGCTATTACAAATGGCTGCTTCTCAAGCGGTCAGATCTGTTCTAATTGGTTCATGGATTTGAATTCTATGTTTGAACTGTGTAACCAGGACGTTACACATTCAATTTTGCCCTTTCTCGCAGTAGCGAAAATGGTCACCGGTGACATCGTCACTACAGCTTGATATACAGTTGAATGAGAGCGGGAGCGTGAACATTCGCAAAGGCAAAGAATTCCATTTGTATTTTTATGGACGCTTACACACAGCTATCAAAACTTGCCGTCTAAAAGGCATATTATGCATTTTAAATTAGGTTTTATTCTATAATTGTGAAAAATATTTTAATTCTCTATCTTTTCATGTCTCAACTATAGGAAAATTTGAGTAATAACGAAGATATTGGTTAAAATAAAAAAGCTCACGATCACCATCGCATTGAACTGCGTATCAGGATTAATGAGGATTTAGTGACATCGTCGCACCTGCTGTGAATCCTAAACGACATATAGCTGACAATGACACTGGTGAAAATGTCATACAGGTATACTCCTATCAAAGACTTATAACAGACAATGTCTTGCAGCGGTCACTTATAAAAAGTCCATTGCAAGATACTGCCGCTTGAATGTCATTAATGATCACTTAGTCATGCAGATGACATCAACGACGAAATTTCCATTTATATGAAAAAGTCACGGGGCTATTTTCAATACACTGACAGTTTTTCACTAACCACTCCTATTTATTACTTGAAGATAAGTGCATTTGTAATTCAGACTGCATCATATCTGGACAAGTTCGGTTGTTATTTAAACTTTTCTTTTTTAAAGAATTGTTTCAACTCTTGCCATATTTCAATGGTATCACTTTTAGTCAGTATTAGAGGTGAAGATAAGTACATTTGTAATTTAGACTGCATTACATCTGGACAATTTCGATCTTTATTGAAATTTTTCTTTCTCTAAGTTTTATGATGCTTTACACTGGTTGTTTTCGAAATAGAATACAGATTGCGCATCCCTTCGGGCGATGACGTCACGTTAGCCATGAATAGTGGAGATGAAGTAGAGAATAATTGGAGATAAAAATTTGATTTTTTTTTTACATTGAGTGAATGCGTGAAAAGAAAATTATATTTCACTTATATAAATAGTGCACAAATAAAACCAAGTGATTATTTTGCTTCGGAAGGAACATCTGGCAGTCTTTTATTTTATCGTTCATATTTACAAATATATGAGTGTTGTTAGAATGTAATAAACGGTTTGGTTATTTGCCCAATTATTTCGGACTTTTGTGTCCGAATGGGTGACCTGCTCCAAAAAATTTGTATCTCACTTGTAATCAAGAATCTAAACTTTCTTTTAAAACCTTGCTTGAACAGTACAATTTTTTTATAAATGCTTTTTATACTTTAGTTCTTTCAACTCAAGCTCCCGGAGCTTTATATCGAGTTTTTGCTTTTGCAGCTGGATCCGTTCGTAGTGTTCCCTCTCCTCACGAGCTTCTTTTTGTTTCAAAATTTCAAAAGTTTTCCGCGCATATCTTCCAATGTCGTGCATTTTTTCATCCAGGCCTCTTACCACTTTTAGTAACTCCTCCTGATTAAGCGTCTGCTGCTTCAGCATCTCAATTAGATCGTTTTCCCTTACATCCGCATTTACTATGGACGAACGCACTCTCCTGCGAGGGGTAGCTTCAACCTCGCTTTGAAGATTTCCCTCTTCAGTACAATTTTCTGAAACAAGTGGAGCACTGGTACTGTTGCTGGCACCATGACTTACGCCTTCAGAATTCGCTGCTCTTTCTAAGCCTAGAAGAGAGTCAACCTTCTGTCGAGCTACATTTGGATGCTCCCGCATCATTTGCACCATTTTTTCAAATTGCCGCGTATTCGTTTTCTTCATGCTGCTTAAATATTGTCAAAATTATTTACATATATATTTGCACAAATTACCCTTTTTTATTAATATATGCATGTATGTACCTTTTATTTTCAATTTGCAACATATTTTTTATATTTTTAGATTTTATTTTATTTATTATCACGCACAAATTTCCTTCGCCAGTTTTTGAAAACTAAGGCGAACGTTGTCTAGTCGAATGGTATTTCGTAATTTCAAAATTTGAATGTTCGACCTAAGACGCGAATGTCACGGGCGAGCAGCAGGCAAACTGCGAACAATAATATGAAATCGGGCTATTCGACTAATTTTTAATTCGACTCGCGAACAATAATAGGGCCCTACATTTGAAATAGAAGGGTAGGTTTTTGTACCATATGTTTATTTGTAGATGCATATAAAGCACATTTAATTGATGAAAACATAAATTGCTTTTTAAATTCGATGTTATCATAGAAATCATAATAGTTTTATTTTAATTTTAAGCCTTAATATTTCGTTCCATATTTCGTTTAAAATGCCAAAATTTCCTGCAAATACATAAGAATTTGACTACTAATATGGTTTCCTTTTCTCGAAATAATGTTGCATTTATTCAGCCCTGCGCAGGGCATATGGCGTACTCTTGCCCTAAAATGTTGCACTCTGTTAATGTTGCCATATAGATAAGAAGGTGAAATTTTTTTCGATAAAAAGTAACGCCATAACTGCCTACTTTGCAAACTTTTCTGCTACCATTTTCGCATCAAGCGATTTAATTCCTCCACTTTCTCCGTCCTTCGTAAACGCAACCTTTTGTAAAGGAGTGTCAAACCGCGGCTGTCAATAATTATCTAACCGGGAAATCTTTAGCTATTTGTACAACGATTTAGGGGTGGGGGCGGAGGGGGAGGAGGCGTGGCTCCCCAACCCTCCTAAACGAAAGAGGATGGACGCCGCTTTATGAAAAGTCACCCCTCACACCCCTCCCTCGCCTGAAGACCCATAGGGAGCTGTTTGAAAACAGCGGAAATTTGGATTTTTTCCAAAACGATTATAACCCTCACTACTCCTTTCTCTGTTGTCCAAGAAGAGGGGCTGAACACCTTTTGCAGAGAGCACCTTTCTGCGTAGTCGGCCTTCGGCCGCGCTTAGGGATTATAACCCTCACTAAGTAGAATTCTCCTTTCTGTTTTGCCGAAGAAAAGGGGCTGAACACCTTTTGCAGAGAACACTTCTGCGTAGGCGGCCTTCGGCCGCGCTTAGGGATTATAACCCTCACTAAGCAGAATTCTCCTTTCTGTTTTGCTAAAGAAGAGGGGCTGAACTACTTTTGCAGAGATATTACGTGGTGACAGTTCAGCTCGGAAACTTACAAAAAATACCATATTTCCAACCGACATAAGGTGCGTTCGACAAGTCAAAAATTTGTAATAGTTTTTTCAAATTTTTACTGGATGGCGTTCGATAACGACAAAAAATTATCTAACACACAGAAATTGAGAGAGCAAGCGTTCATTTTGTTGCAAGAGAAGCGTTCATTTTGTACTGGCAAAATTTTAGTCAGCAAAAATTATCCAACACGAAAACATATGATCACAAAACATATGGTTGCAATTTCTGTAAACAAACAAAATTGAATTTTCCGAGTTTTGGTATTTATATGCTTTTTAGCTGCCTGCTATGTGACTTTATGATAGCGCCAACTAGTTTTTACTTCTAGAAATGTTCCGGGCGAACCTTTTTCTCTATGGAGGCAACATGAATTTCAGTTTGTTTACAAATAAAACATAAACAAAGTCAGCTGGTGTGTCTTCTTCTTCCGGTTTTTGCAAGTAATGGCTAATTTCCTGTTCGTTAACTTTTTTGCTTTTTCATCGCTTTGGGAGAGAATTTTCGCTTACTCTCTTGATTTTGATTGTTGGCTGGTGTTGGCTAATTTTGTTATCGAACGCAGATATTATTAATAAATTAGTGCACAGTTATAGTAAATTTTATTTTTGTAATAAAGCGTGAACTGTTGTCTACAAATGTGTAAAAGGTTTTTGATTCGATTCACGCGTTTGGGCACAGCAACCCAAAATCTTTGTACAAATTCATAAAGAGTACCCATCTAACCTTTAAATTTATTATTGAATCATGATCCTGAACAGCACGATTGTAAGTTTTGTTTTTGTTCTGCCAACACCACCTTGTATAAATTCGCCTTGGAGATTTTCCAGCACGTGAAGAAGGCCAGTTAAATATGCACAATGACACATAATCGAGTGTAAAATTTTCGAAGCTTTCAAGCAAAACATCGATATGTTCGATGCATCGACTTTTTCCGATATAGGCACCAGAAGCTAAAAAGTTTTGTTTATGCTAAAAGAGAACATAAATTTTTGTGGTAAACTTTTTGGATAATTTTAAATTTGTTTACGAATATACACACACTCGACATTTGCAGCTAGCTAACATGTTTGAAGATGATTTGATTAAGGCGGTTCGGCAATATCCTTGCTTATATGATAGAAGCAGCAGGCAATCAGAAAAGTCTCCGGAAATCACTAAAAGATGTTGGCGAAGTGTAGCTATGGAAACTGGAGAAACAAGTAAGTAATTTGGGCACGGTTCGGTTAATTGTACACAGTGATTTTGGGTTGTTGCCAAATGTGCGATACGATTCCGAAAATCTTATACGCGTGTAGCCAAAGGATTAAACTTTAAATTTCCGACCACTAATTTATTAATAAATTCTGTTGGAAATATGCACTCCCCTTGCCCCCTGTAGGACTTCTCCATAATGGCGTATGGGAATGGAATTGATGACTTGATCTCGAAAGTAAACGGTTACCTCCGCGATTTGGTCGACACTCGTCGGTAATATGTGTCCTTTCCCCGCTACTGTTTAACTTTTATATTTCAAAGCTCCCTCAACCATCAGAGGGAGTCTCGATTGTCTCTTACTCCGACGATTGCTCGATCATGGCGACTGGGAATGGAATTGATGACTTGTGTTCGAAAGTAAACGGGTATCTCTCCGAGCTTTCTCGCTTCTTCACTGCAAGGAGCCTAACCCTCTCCCCTACGAAATCCTCTGCGACCTTGTTCACCACCTGGACGAAGGAGGTCAGGCTACCACTGGGAATTCACGTCGATGATACACCAATTCCGGCGGTGAATAACACCAAAATAATCGGAGTAAGCTTCGACAGTCTGGTCTCTGCGCACGCAACCGCTATTGTCAACAAAGTGTAGAGCCGCAACAAGGTCCTCAAGTCGCCAGCCGGCAGTGCTTGGGGCAAAGACTAAGGAACGTTGCTGGCAACATACAAGGCAATATGCCGGCCGGTTTTAAATTACGCAGCACCAGTGTGGTCGCCGGGGACTAGTAGGACGCAGGGGATGAAGCTCTAGATTACGCAAAATACCGCACTCCGGATAGCGACTGGATGCCTTCTGATGTCGCCTGAACACCACCTACACGACGAGGTGAAATTGCTCCCGATCGAGGAGAACAATAAAATGCTCTGCAAGCAGAAGAGCGCTCGCCCAGGTACGTCAGGAGGCATCTCTACGAACTGACGGACGAAGTCCAGAGGTTCATTAACCAACCTCTGGACCCGTCAGCTTATCGGCAGTCCCTGAACGGCATTCACAGGGTGTCAGTCTCGAGTTATGTAGACTCCAGACCTGCGAATGCCGTTCTAGGCGCACAACCACCGGACATTGACGAGGCGGAGCTTCATCTACCTCGGAAGACTAGAACCACAATAGCCAAACTTCGCTGTCTACTGCAGCAGGTTAAACTCATACCTGAGAAGACTAAACGCAGATATACCAAATGAGTGTCGGGCATGCGGAGATACACCCTATGACTCGAAACATCTCTTCGTATTCCCGGAAAACCCGACAACCCTAACGCCTTAGTCCCCATGTGGACCGACCCTATCCAGGCTGCACGCTTTTTAGGGCTGCCGTTAGTGGAACTTGACGACAACGACTGAGATATTAACCAATCTGGGCGGGGTTGTTGTATCCGCTACAACAACAACACAACGTTGACGGATGAGCCGACTCGAGCGGGGTTTGGTAGCCGCTACTACAACTGCAGGAAGGATGACTACTTATTAGAGTTTGGACTGTGCCACACCACCTCCCCCTCCGCTCCCACCTACAAAAGCATTCTACAAATATCCGATGATTTCCCAGCAATTTCAGTAAAAATATATATTTTCCTGCCGTTTAGTCGAAAGATGCCAAAACCGGTGGAAATCTCTGCGTGACCGATATGTTAGAGAAATTAAAACCGATGCTAGCAGTGATTGGAGGCATATGGAAGATTTGAACTTTTTACAGGATTGCATGTATGTTTTTATTGAATGTATTGTAGTTTTATATATATTTTAAGTTAATTTCATTTCAATAGAACAATCAGGAAAAATTATTCATCTAACTCTTCAGCAAAATCTCGTGACACAACGAGAACTCTAAAAGAAGAGTCACAGGATGAAAACTTTTATAATAACGACAGTTTTGCATCCGAGGAAGAACCATGTAATTCATCACTAAAGAGACCTTGCGATGATGACATAGATTATATGTTTGAAGAACAAGATGTAACTGAGAGTCCAACCGCAGCGAAAACATTTTTAGTTGAAGCTTTGATAGAACCGCCAATAAATGAGCCACTAATTAGTCAGTCATATCGAAGAGCAGAACGTTCAAAACCAAGTGCTCATGCCCCGAACGCACAGGCGAAATTCGATTCTTTGGTTGGAACTTTAAATGAATACATTAAAGGGCGTATAAAGGAAAGGGAGAAAACCAACAACAGTGATTTCTTCGGGTTACTGGATACATATCTTGCAAAATTGCCAGGAACGGAACAAGATAAACTAAAAGCTGATATTTTAATTATGGTTCTAAATAAAACAAAAGAGTGTTAAATGTTATTTTCTTCTCAGACAAATAAATCTACTGATGAAATTCATGGAATTCATTTACATTATATTGGAAATAATTCTAACTCATAGGATTTAAATATGTGCAATTTTCTATTAAATTTAAAAACGTAATAATACCTACTGTATTATATGCGCATTGGTAAATACATTAGCCGCTAATAAATGTAAGCAAATACGTAGAGTTTTTTATTTATTTTTTTTTTTAGCATCAGAGCTGTGCCAACCCACTGAAATTCGGTAAGCGTATTGGTGCATTCAGAATAAATTGTAATAGCAATGGAAGAAATTGTAAAAGAAAATAGGGCATAAGTAAAGAATACCCACCGTTTCGATAGAGAAAAACGAGGAATGGGGTCTAATATTGCGGGAATAAAAGTTGTGGAAGATATTTAGGGTAAAAGATGAAATTTTGGATTTCGAAAACTGTTAATATCTTCGAATCCAATTAACTGTTTGAAAAATTAAGCACCGCGTAACATATTTCGTTTGGTATACATATTTTGTGAATTTGTGTATGATATTTGTGGAAAAAAGAGACAATAAAAATATACGCAAAAAAAATTTGTGTTTATGGATTTTTTCCCAAAAAAATTTATTTGATTTTTCTTTTGTGTGATGTATCATATGACTACTTTATCTTTGCCTTTTACTATATATTTTGCTTTTTACGTTACCTCGACTGACCAATTCCGGCGATTTTGTTACATCATTACTTTATAATTTATTTTAACAAATTTGCGGTCATTTGTGTGGAAAGGTGTCCCCTACAAAAGGTGTTCAGCCCTTCTTCTTCGGCAACACAGAAAGGAGAATTCTACTTAGTGAGGGTTGTAATCCCTAAACGCGGCCGTAGGCCGCCTACGCAGAAAGGTGTTCCCTAAAAACGATGTTCAGCCCTTCTTCTTCGGCAACAGAGAAAGGAAAATTCTACTTAGTGAGGGTTATAATCCCTAAGCGCGGCCGAAGGCCGCCTACGTAAAAATTTGTTCTCTGCAAAAGGCGTTGAGACCCTCTTCTTCGGCAATACAGAAAAGAGAATTCTACTTAGTGAGGGGTATAATTCCTAAGCTCAGCCGCCTTCGCAAAATGGTTTTCAGCCCCTATTCTTCGGCAACACAGAAAGAAGAATTCTGCTTAGTGAGGGTTATAAATATAAATTTTCTTTACACCAAAAGTACTATAACAGTGCATTCATAAGGCTACTTTTGAAGAAAAATCATTTTGAAGGGAATTTTTTCATATATTTTTTATAAAAACCAATTTTTATCAGAAATTTTAAACGTAAGGTACAAGGCATGCACACCAAAAGAAAGGTGTATTAATTTTCCTTGAAACTGCATATTAACTTTTACAAACGCTTCACTCGTTTTTGAAATATTTCGGTTTTTCAAAAATCAAATTTTGATCTTTGACCTTCGGTATCACGCTTAGGTTTAATTTCCGCAAGTAAATTTAAGTATCGTTATAATCAGCACAAAAAGCTCTATCGGCCCCTATTTTTAGTTTTTTTTTTTCTAGCGAAACGGGTATTCTTTACTTGTTCCGAAAATAGCAAATGCCAAAAACAGGTAATCCCAGCTGGAGGCATTTTTTGGCAAACATCTGATAGTGCTTTTACTTATGGAACTGTACGATGATTTCAAAATCTGGGCCCGAATCGCGGCAATCGTGATCGAGTGATTACTCGTTTCGAATCGATCAAACAAAATGGCGACTGTTTTCTCCACAATACAATTTAAATGAGCGAATCATGCACTATCGAATGCCGCGATCTCAAAATGAAATTTCCTTTCGAGTTACGTTCGAATCATCACGAAATAATGGAACGGGCATATGTGTCTGTTGCAAAAATAGGTTGTTGTTGTTGTTGCAGCAGCAGTACCTCATCCTCCCGGGGTCTCGTCATGGGCCGTATTTGTCCTCGGACTCTACAAGCCTGAGGCCAGGAAAGCGGGCGGCGTCGATAGGCATTGTTGTTGTAACAGTATACAAATTCTACAAGAGTCTTTTGGGGAGTGTTGCTGGAGTGACGGTCCTTGGCCAGATATAAATCTGGGTCTTTCCTATTACGTAGACCCGGCTGTCGTGGAAAACTTTGCAGGTTGCAGTCCAAACTATTACTGACTATTTGTTATTATACACACCCAATAATTTAGCATATCGTAGTTATCGAAATTATCGAATTAATGTCATCTATTCTCATTGGCATGTCAATACGCCATATTTTCTTGCCATTTATTACCATCGCCCAATTGTGTTTATTTTGTGCAGACAAATATTCAAAAGTAGATTGCATCTATGCAGATTTTTCCGACGCGTTTGATAAGGTATCATATTCAATTTTGTTTCATAAAATAAGAAACTTTGGTACTCATTCAGTTTTCTTAAATTGGTTAGTTATGTATATATATATGTGTTCCATATTTCATGTTCATGTTGAAATTGAAAACTGCAGGTCTGCTCCGTTTGTTGCTACTTCTGGGGTGCCTCAAGGCAGTGTCCGTGGACCGCTTTTGGGTGGACTTTAGTATTCAGCCGCAGCTTGTGTTTTAAGAAAACCAGGTGGAATTAACATTTGAAACTTGGTCAGGATGTTAAGGGAGGTATCCTCTAAAACATGTATAACGAAGGTTCGAAAACTGACAGTTGTCTCTCTCGCACCGCTCCCTTAGCAGTGGCAGAGTGTTGTTTCTTTGCAAATTTACTTGGAAAAAGTGTAGCTTTGCTGTGAAATAGAAGTATAAGCTTTTGTGCAATATGTTTATTTGTATATGCATATGAAGCACATTTAACTGATGAAAACCCAAATTGTTTTTAAATTGGATGTTTACATAAATCTCATAGTAGTTTTATTTTAATTTTGAGTCCTTTTGCATTTTTTATACAGCTAAATAGCACATAAACTACGTAATTCACGTAGATGTATTAATATTTCGTTCAATATTTCGTGTAAACTGCCAGATTTCCTGCAAATACATTAGAATTTGCAAAATGAATTTCACTACTAATTGCCTACTTTGCATACTTTTCTACTACCATTTTCGCAACAAGGGATTGCATTCTTCCTTTTTATCTGTCCTTCATAAATGCAACCTTTTGTAAGGGAGTGTCAAACCGCGGCTGTCAATAATTATCTAACCTTGTATTTAGTCTGTTCCTTTGAACTTCGGACTAAAACCTGTGGAACTGTCAAACTACAATTTTACTCTCTCAAATGAGAGTAAAAGGAGAACAGATGCAGAAGTGCATAGGAACGCAAAAAGCACTATTTCCTGTAAAAACGTCAGTCGGTTTGTTTACATGTCATTTGTATAACACTGATTTAGCTGAAATATCATTAAATAATTATTAAAATCTATACATATTCAAACATTTCGTTGTTTACTTCCATTTTTTTACAAATATAAGGTACTTTGCTTTCACCGCTGTTAGTTTTTGCTTGCACATGCAAATCAGCTGATCGTTTGACACTTTTCATGAACTTACAGGAAAAGAAACTCCGGACTAAATCCTGTAACTTCTGACTAGGAACAGTTGCTCAGTTACTCTCTCAAATGTGTTCCCACTTACAGGTTTTATGTCAATAGGAACGACTTCCTGTAAGTTCTGACTAAATCCTGTAAACCGGACTGCTATTGGAACAGACTAATTATTAAATAATGGGTCTGCTCCATGATCCAACTACACAAGATCTGACATGATGAAGCAAAAGAAAAAAGTAATTTTCTGGCTGACGTTTGTAATTTCGGCGCCATGTTATTTTCTGTGAAAAGTAAACAAAGAATATGAAGAGGAAGCATAAAGAAAAAAATGCAAGCAATAGGTTTGTATAGTAACCAATAGTCTACTAATTTGTACTGGAACCTGCAAATTTTTACTGGAAAAGTGTATAACCCAAAAAATTTGCAAGAGAGCACTGAAGGGAGAGCTGCAAATTCTTGCTAGTGAAATTTTTACTAGCAGAAATTAGCTAGCAGAAGAAGAAGAAGAATAAATGTCAAAAGCCGCCATTTGTTGAATTGTTTTAGCACAAACAAAAGTAAAATGAGTGGAAATTAAAATATTAATGATGTACTAGACTGTGTAAGTGCTTGTGTGTAAAGCAGAGGTCGAAAATAACCGTCAACACTTTGAAAGTGTCCCAAAACAGAACAGGTGGTTTATTTTTTGTAGATGTGCGCTCCTCTCAGTGGGAAAGGGTTATTTTGCATATAATTTCCGTTGCTGTTGGACACGGACACTTATCGCTGGAAGAAGAAAAATAAGTGTTAGAAGTGCGTAGAAACATATCAAATTTACTGTTGATAGAGAGATATAAGCAACGTCAACGTCACGGTGATGTTATTGATTTAAAATCCGCTATTAATTAAGAAATTATTATTATGATTTAGTTTGTGGACCAAATAAAAAATAAAATTTATTTGTGATTTGATTTTCCAACCAAATAAGAAATACAAATTTTTGATTTGATTTGTAGAGCAAATCAATTTGATTTGTAATTTTTCAGTTAAATAATACATACTTTTGTTATGCGACGCAAATAAGATATTTAAGTATCTTCCAACTTCCAGTTCCACGAAAATCTTCGGGATCCTTGGGACTAATTCGAGATTTTCGAGACTATTTCGGGATTTTTGGGCTATTTTGGGATTTTCGAGACTTCTTCAGGATTTTCGGAATCTTCGGGACTACTTCGGGATTTTTGGGCTATTTCGGGAATGTCGGGACTAATTCGGGATTTTCGAGACTACTTTGATATTTTCGGGATCCGCGGCACTAATTCGAAATTTTCGAGACTTCTCAGGATTTTCGGAATCTTCGGGACTACTTCGAGATTCTTGGGCTATTTCGGGATTCTTGGACCTAATTCGGGATTTTCGGGACTACTTTGAGATTTTCGGGATCCGCGGCGCTAATTCGGAATTTTCGAGACTTCTTCAGGATTTTCGGAATCTTCGGAACTATTTCGGGAATTTTAGGCTATTTCGGGATTCTCGGGACTAATTCGGGATTTTCGTGACTACTTTGAGATTTTCGGGATCAGCGGCACTAATTCGGAATTTTCGAGACTTCTTCAGGATTTCGGAATCTTCGGGACTAATTCGGGAATTTTGGGACAAGTAGTAGTCCCGAGAGTACTGAAAATCCCGAAATAGTTCCCAAGTTGAGTCTCTG